GAGTAAAAAAACGTCAGCACCAGGGGCGCCTGGGTGGCCCCGTGGGTTAAACGACCGACCCGTGGTTTCGGCTCAGGTCGCGATCTGACCGTTCGTGAGATCGAGCCCCACATCGGACTTTGCACTGACAGCATGAAGCCTACTCGGGATTCTTTCTCCCTCTCTCTGTCTCCCTCCTCTCTCCTGCTTGTGGGTATGTGCACTCTCTCCCTCCCTCTCAAAATAAATAAATACATAAATAAATATTTTTAAAACACGGTTTTTTTGTTTTTTTGTTTTAAAGAAACAACAGGTGTTGGTGAGGATGTGGAAAAAGGGCAACCCTCAGGCACTGTTGGTGGGAATGCAAACTGGTGCAGCCGCTCTGGAACTACCTGGAAGTTTAAAATAGAACTACCCTATAATCCTGAGTTCCTTTAGGTACTTTTCTTCTTAAGTTAATAGAGGCCTGTTTCCGCTAGGGAAACATAAAGATTTTAAATGGGAGATCATGGTTAAGTCTCCGTGCCTGGACTGCTCTCTCTCCTGAGATTGAAGAATGTCGTTTGTACCTCACCTGAACCGTTGGCCTTTAGGTTAGAGCTGGTCCACCAGGCAATTCCTCATCCAATTTTTCTTTTTTTTTTTTTTATTTATTTATTTATTTATTTTTCAACGTTTATTTATTTTTGGGACAGAGAGAGACAGACAGAGAGAGCATGAACGGGGGAGGGTCAGAGAGAGAGGGAGACACAGAATCGGAAACAGGCTCCAGGCTCTGAGCCATCAGCCCAGAGCCCGACGCGGGGCTCGAACTCACGGACCGCGAGATCGTGACCTGGCTGAAGTCGGATGCTTAACCGACTGCGCCACCCAGGCGCCCCCCTCATCCAATTTTTTAGGGTTCTTTGTTCTTTTGTCCTCTGAAAACTTGAGGGCCAGAATGATCGCTCCATTAACAGCCTCAGGGTGAGGGCCAGCTGTAAATTAGTGTGTGGCCCCAGGCTCGTTTGGGCATCTGAGTCTCTAGGGCCCAGTTTTTAGGTGTGAAAAGAACCACATCCTGTCACATTTTTGCTAGAACTGTCCCTGAGTTAGAAACTTTCTCAGTTCTGTCAGCACTGTGACCCCTACCTCATCACTCTGGGATAGCACAGCGGGACAAGGGCAAGTCCAAAGTGGATTGCAACCTTAATACTTAAAGAACAGAGAGAGAGAAGGAGGCCTCCCACCCAGCCAGCTGCCATTTTTACATAAATGACCAACACGATGGTTATAGGTGGAATTGCATCCCTCAAAGAAGACATGGTGAAGTCCTAACCTCGGCCACCTCACAACATGACCTTACTTGGAGTAGGGTTGTTGCAGATTATTTCGTTGAATGAAGTCCTACTGGAGTGGGATGGGCCCTAATCCAGCATGGCTGGTGTCCTTATAAGAAGATGGCCATCTTGATGGCTCAGTCGGTTAAGCATCTGACTCTGGCTCATGTCATGATCTTGCGGTTTGTGGGTTTGAGCCCCGCGTCGGGCTCCATGCTGACGGCTCAGAGCCTGGATCCTGCTTCGGATTCTGTGTCTCCCCCTCTCTCTGCCCCTTCCCAACTCATGCTCTGTCTCTATCTCAAAAATGAACATTAAAAAAAATCTTTTTTTTAATATGACCGTGTGAAGACACAGACTCATTGAGAGAACGTCATTTGTTGGTGGAGGCAGACGCTGAAATGATGCGGTGGTGAGCCAAGGAACACCAGGGATTGGCGAGCACCAGAACGAGGCGAGGAAGGACGTCCCTGTGGGCTTCAGAGGGAGCGCTGTCCTGCCAACACCTTGACTGCAGACAGACATCTGGCTTCCAGAACTGTGAAACGATCAACTTCCATTGTTTTGAGCCACCCAGCTTACAGTACCTTGTTTTTAGAAGCTCTAGGAACCTGATGGAACGTGACGATCAACACAATGGACTGGACTAGCTCCTGGGATTCCATTCTGCCTATTCTGGATGCTCCCTCCGTGCTACACACCCCCCTTCCTCCCAGCCTCTCCCACATGCCACACAAAGAGCAAGGTAACCCAAGAATGCATCTGTGGATGGACAGATTTCTCATCCAAGCTGCAGGAGCCATATGGCACTCACCCATGCATGGTCCACACGGGAGACAAGGGCTCCTGTAGGAATCAGCCATTCTTTTTGGCTGGATGAATAAAAGACGTTTTTGAGGAGCCTAAGTGAAATCCATGAGAGCACCGTGCCATCCTTCTTAGGTGGCAGAGAGGGTCAGGAGAGAGAAAGGCATTCGTGTGCCCACAGGTCTGTTCTACATGCTGATGCATCTTGCTACTTCTGAGGCCCATTCAGTCCCATCCAGCAACCACTTGTCTCGTCTCCCCTTGTCCTTCTCCCTCGAGGCCCCCACCCCTCCCATCGCTCTTCCCCACTAAGGCTCCAGATCTGGGAGACGGTGGAGCAGAGCATTTCTACCCCCTAAACCAGTGTTCACATGCATTCACGTGAGGAGTCCCAGGTAGGATCGCTTGCCTGTATTTTCTGTGTGATTAACTGGAAACCCAGCCAGGCCCCAGACTGCATACAGAGGGCCCTACCTCCCCGTTTCCATCCCTGAGAGGGACCTGAGCTGGCTCTGCATGGTTGGGACATCTGGTCCCTTAGCCGGGCATGCAAGGGGGGACCTGAGTTCCGATTGGCCGCATGGATGAACTTGCAGCAAGGTCCTGACCCGGGAGTTAACGTTTGACTCTTTGTTTGGGAGTTCCGGGGGCGGGGTGAAGTCCTAACCTCCGCTACCTCACAACATGACCTTACGTGAAACAGGGTTGGGGCAGGGGTCCTCAGACCCCTAGAATTACAAAAGAATGGAAGGTTTGTGAAGCAACACGAACATTTAAAACCCGCCTGCACATCTGAGAATGCTCGCTGCGTTGTACCGCTTTTGCTAACTGGCAAAATGGTGTCACTAGGGTCAATATAGAAAAATAAGGGTTTAATATTCATTGCAGCCGACGTTGTTGATAAACATCTGCTCTCCTCAGCCACTGCAGCTGCGCTTTTAGACACAGCTGTCACAGGCTCGTGAAGGAGCAACTTCATTTCTTAGGATCCGTTCTGGGGAAACAGGGATGTGGCACCTTCCTGTTTACTGGAGAAACCGGCGACAGCCTTACGCCTTACGGCTGACCTGCTCACCTGCCTGCAGCCCAGCCGGTTCAGCAAGGAGGAACGAGCCCCTCATGCAAGCCCGGCCTTTCTGGAGAGTTCTCTGAGGTCCTGAGCCCTTCGACCCCCGAGACTGGCTATTCTGCCTCTTCCTATCTGCAAGGAATCGAGGTTTCCCTTGCACTTGGATCTTGCCTTCTGTTAATGATAATTCACCAACCTCCATTTTCTTATCTTTTTCATGACCTCTGTAGCCCCGACCCTCACTAAAACTCATGGGTGCCACTTATGAAGTGCTTCCCACGCATCAGGCTCTGTGCCAGGTTATCAGTGGTTGGCATAGTGACCAAAACAGCCTGGAAGATGGGTATTGTTACCCGCTCTGGCTGATGGTAAGAGTGAGGTTTGGAGGGGTCAGTCCTACGTGCCACAAATCAACAGGGCAGGGGAGGGAGGGACACCCCAGTCCGACCTGGGTTGTCTTCCTCCAAAGCCCACCTGAGCTCTTTTGCTACCACGTGGATTCCTCACATGTCATCAGAGGGTTCATTCCTTGAACCCTCTGTAGAGAGATGGGAAAATCTTAAAGCAAGCTCAACCCACAAGCAGAAGGTGATGGCCTGGTGCTTACTTAATTTAATTAAACATGACCTATGCTGCTTATGTGGTATGTCTCCATCCATAATCAGCTTTTTAAGTCCTATCACGTGTGGGAGATGGTCATCTGTCTGCTAGGCGGGACTCCCCGGGGATGACAGGAGATAGCTCCTTCCCTGCTGGATTAGCCAGGGTTCTCCAGAGAAACGGCACCAGTAGGATATTGGTATATGATATATGTAATATACGTATATCAAGCAAGAGGTTTATCGTAAGGAACTGGCTCCCGTGGCTATGGAGGCTGACGAGTCCAAAATCTGCATGGCGAATGTCCCAGTTGGAGCCTGAGGGCCAGAAGCTTCTGTAGAGCCAGGAAGAGCCAGTGTTTCAGATCAGAGGCAGTCGGGCAAGAGAGAATTCTGTCTCACTCAGGGGCAGGTTAGCACTTTCTTCTAGTTAAGCCCTCAGCTGATTGGATGAGGCCGACCCGAATTACGCAGGGCTTCACTCAGCTCACTGCTTCAAATGTGAACCTCATCCAAAAAACACTCTCACAGAAACACCCAGAGTGACAGTTGAGTAAAATATCTGGGCATCCCGTGCCCACCACGCATGCCAACTCCATATGCGGGGTGATGGTTTTCTGGAATGTTGTGGTGAGGACACGGATGGGGATTGATGACTGACGTCTACCTGGACCCGAGAAGAAATGGGGCAGTGGACCAAGAATTGCCATCTGGGGTACAAACCCATACAAAAGAGAACATAAGACCGAGCGCCTACCAAAGAAGTTATGAGCAACTATATAATTTGCAGGTGAGGGTAGCTGGTGGAATGAAGTTCCCTGCTTCGTTTTTCTCCCTCCCACGATTGTTAATTTCTAGAAGACGGTCTCTTTCTGAGAGTGGTAACTTCAAAAGTCGGTATCCAATGTCAGATTATCCATATGGATCTCAGAAGCGTAAAGAAAATACTACGATGCACGTTCCTCTGTTCTTTTATGTCTGTTAGAGTTTGGTAGAAAGTAACACATCTATGTTAATTTGGAAGGATCTTTTACTGAGCTTTCAAAATAGGGATTATTTTGTTTTGCTGCAATCTGGGCTTGGAGATGTATTTGAAAGGTGTGTGTTTGGCTGGACTAGAACATGCAGTGGAGGTTCTCAAGTTGGTTGATATACAAATTCTAAGTGCCGTATGTATGTTGTTTTGTATTGTTTTTGTCTGTCTGTCTGTTTGTTCTCTAATAGACCAGGCATTTGGAAAGACCTGAAGACCATGGGCTCAGTGTCTCTCTTTATATTTTTCATCACACTGCTTGTTCTGGGTAGACAGGTAAGACATCTGCTTTTTCACATAACTTCCCCCAAGTTCCGTGTTAATAATACGTTGCTCGTACGTTGACTCTACCTCAATTTCAAAAAAAAAAAAAACCAACAGAGTCCATTCAGTAATAATAATGAAAATACTTTGCTGATGTGCACCGTAGCTGCTTTCATGCGAACAAATGCTGATGTGTCACAATCATTTGATCACCAGAGAGAAACGTGTGTGTGCGTGCGTAAATATAGACAAAAGGACAGAGGTCTCTCATTTTTTTTTTTTTTTTTTTTTTTTTTTTTTTTTTCTGCAAGAGGCAAACTTGGTGAATGGTAGAGGTGGGAATCCATTTCCTGGTAAATCTCAAAATAACGTTGTAGGTTTTGTAAGCCTACAAAGGTGATCCCTCCATAGCTGACGCTATTTGTAAAACTGTCCCCTCGTCTGGGATTTTATTTGCATTTCAGAATGGATGGCCTGTTTCTTTTTCTTAGAAGTGGGTATGAATACCTTTGACGTCACCTGAAATCATTCCTAGAAATACAGTCCTCTGTTCAAAAATTGTATTTTTTCATGAGAATGAAACTGCCTCCTTGCACTCCCCACTCCTTCTGGTCTCCAAGGAGAGGCTGTGGGTGCAGGATTTTCAAGGATGATATTCTTTCTCTAGCTGCACATGAGCACGATTGCCCAAAGGATATAGACTCATTGCATGCCAGGCACTCTGCCTTCACCAAAGTTTGCTTGGAATTCTTTGATGGATGATGTAAAGCAAAGGAACAATATATAGAGAAATAACCAACTAAGATGCAAAGCCAATTTAATCATCGACACAGCACTAAACAGTTAAACCGTAGGAAGTTGTTAACAGTCACACAGTCAGAGCAGAGGCCGGATCTGTGGCTGCCAGTCGAGTGGCCTGGAAACACTGTCCTCTTCCAAGGAGCACCCACGGCATGCTTCCCTGAGAGCTACAGTGCATCCCACCCCAGTCTCCCAGGAGCTGAATTGTTGTCCTGATGCAGAGCTCTAGAAGACCCCTGTCTCCCTTCCATCCCACCCCATCTCCATCCCTGGCACAGCTTTGTTCTGCATCCTTTGGCTTGTAGCTTTGACAGTCTGCACGTTCCGATTAACCCATTGAACCGTGTCCTGTTCTTTCTTCCTGGTTCCATTTGTTTCCTGCCACCTGGCTTTCTCCTCCATCGACCTGCTTTCTGTTCTCACTCATAGAGAAAAGGCATGTCCACTCTCAGGAAACCCTATTAGAAGTGAAAAATGGGAACGAAATGGGCTTCCTTGCGTAATATCCCCTGGCTGATCATTCCTCCGGAAACATGGCCGCCCCCTCTGTGGGGTCCCCTGTTTCTCCATTTCGTCCCAAGGATGTTCCGTCTGCACTTTCTCCTGCTGTAGTCATCAGATTGCTTCACAGCAGTGTATCTTAAGGACCAAGAATCAAATTGAATTCTCCCAACTCTTTATTGATCACTGAGATGATAAACATGCCTCTACGTAGATGTTGTCACATCCAGCGGCTGCCCCTTGACCTGTTACTCTTTGGCATAAGATGAACAATAAGAAGTGTTCAGTATTATGGCCGGGCATTAATTTAACACAATAGGGATGACTCCAGTCTTACACGCATTCAGTTCTTTTATTGTCACTACTGTGACAATAAGTACTGTCCACGCTTAGAGTCACTGCTCCCTACAGGAGTGATGGTGTGATGATCATTCTTTGACAGCTCGCACCGAGAATGTGCCAGGGTGAGCCGGGATCATTCAGTCAGCGATCTACTAAGGTCCCAAGTCTGTTGGGCTAACAAGAACTTCGAAGCCTGTGACACAGTGCTTCTACATACTCTTCTAAAAATACAAGTATGTCATAAGTCATAAACAAATGTCCGATGTTTAAAATAAGGTTTTTAAGTTTCATAAATGTGCATGGCCTCAGGGCTACTTATGCCCTAGGTGGTTTATTTAAGCAGCAGGACAGACATTTTGCCACTTATTTTCATTGTCATTTGTCCCGATGACTCCCCAGGCCCATGACCATGGTTTTTGAAACGATAGTGATATGTTTGCTCTCTGAGCAAGTTAGCATTCTAAATATCGTTCTGGGAATCTAAGACACCTTCCTGAAACCATAGCCTGTGTCCCGGACAAGAGCTGTGCATGGTACTACTCTCTGTGCTGAAATACAGGCTGTGACAGGGATGCCAGCCTGAGCTTAAGGGCCTCTTTTGAAAACGGAAGATTCTCTGTACTTGTCCTGAGTCTAAATGACCACACGCTGCCATTGAGGGTCTGCATTCTAGGTGGGCTTGTTCAGGACATGGATCCAGACAGGTGGTAGCCTGGTGGCCCGAGAGGTAGGCTGAGGTCACCGTGTGCGAGGCTTCAGATCGGAACCTGGGAGTGTGGGGAATCACACGCTGCCCACACCCCTGTCCGTGTAGAAAGAGGTCAGCCCCTCCAGTTCCCCGGCTTGTTTTCAGAACTGCATGAATAAGAACTGCCCTTGAGGCCGTGGTGGGTGTGAAACACAACAGTGAGGCTCCCAGAGATGGCCTGGGTGCCTCTTCCAGGCTCTCCCTGTCCCCTCTCGCCATTGCCAGAGCAGACAAAGAGCGAATCTGCCCCTCTGCGTACTGTCGAGTAGCCCCAGACGGACTCGGCGAGATGGGTGAGGGTGTAGGGACGGAGGTTCAGCAGGTTTACTTGAAGTGCCACCCAGAGTCTCGGAGGCAGTGTCTTCCCCTGACCCTCCGCCGCATCCTCCACATGGCCTCCCCCTGCGTGTCTGTGTCAGATCCCCCTCTTTCTCTTAGAAGGACATAGTCACTGGGCTCACGGGCCACCCTAAATGCAGCAGGATCTCCTCCTGAGGTCCTTAAGTCAATTACACCTGCAGAGCCTATTTCCAGAGAAGGTCACAGTCATATTGCAGGTGAGGACTTGGAACTGTCTTTCTGGGGGACACCACTGGATCCATTCGACTGGCTTGGGATGGAAACATCGGTCTTCCTTTGGGGGCCTCCCCATGAGTTTCCAATGAGCTTGTCCTTCAGGAGAGGGTCCTGCAGCAGACGGCACTGGGGAGGTGGGATGCACAGACTTGGCAAAATGTCACTTTCAGGCCAGTGGAGATGGTCCCAAAGTGCTCCGATTCCTTTAGTGGGAGCCTTACCAGGTGTTTCCTGTGATGCGGTGGCATCACTCAGGCGACCTGAGCCACCTCTAGTACGGCTCACGGAAGCCCCACCAGACCCATGCGCTGGGCTTGCTGCCTGCCCTGTGCCACTTCTCCTTGTTTCACTTTGTCCGTCTCGAGGGTGTATCCGTGTCTTCCTGATGCCACCGTCATGGACTGCTGAGTAGTCTTTGAGTTTAAAACCGGCCACACCACTGGTGTACCCCCCAAAACCCGAATAATCTGTTGTCCAAGTCGGAGCCCTTTTCCAGCAAGGGCAGAGTATGATTTCTGTAGGTTACAGAATGTGGCAGATTTGGCGTTAATGTAAAAAATTTAATATAAACAAACATTAAACATACCTCTTCTGAAATCTTTTTAAAAAATGTCTCTATATGAAGTAAAAATAAATTTCACACCGGAGGAGGAGGAGGAACAACTTTTGAGCATATCGCACATGGCTTGAATCGAGTCTCGTTGATGAATGATCATGGTCTTTCAGGTTCCAAAATGTGAACTTTTTAAGTTGCCATCTGTGCATAAGAGGCTGTGTGTGTGTGAGTGTGTGTGCACATGCGAGTGTATGTGTGTGCATGCACGTGTGCACCTGTGTGTCTCTGTGTAAGAGGCTCTGTGTGCACATACGTGTGTGTGTGCACGTGTGTGCATGTGTGAGCATGCAGGTGTATGTGTGCACCTGTATGTGTGGACACAGGCGTGCACGCGTGTGCAGTGTGCACACGTGTGTGCACTTGTGTGTGCACACGTGTGTATGTGTGTGCCCGTGTACTGCATCAGTATAAATAGCCAAACCAATAAAACAAACAAACTTGCATCATTTATTTCTTCTTTGCATGTTTTCGTCAGGAAGTTAGTCTCTGTGCTAAAATACGCCTCATCCATTAGGTCCTTCTGTTACAGGAAGATTCTTTCAAGGGCTGTTCCACCATAGTAAATTCTTGACATCACAGGAGACCCAACGTGATGCCAAAATCAAAGACACCTTGGCCAGTAAACAGGCCACTCTGTTTCTACAATGTCAACTAAAACAGTTTTTAAGAAACTGTTTTAAGAAAACATTAAGTTGTGCGACATCATAAAGCACGAATGCGTGTTTCTAGCAGCAGGCACCGTCTTAATTAAATGATACCAGAACGAACGTTTGGGTAAACAGAATGTCATTCTCTTAGGACAATGCAATCCCAGATGAAAAAGTACAAAATTTTCAATGAATTTCTAATTACAGAATTTGTAGTAGGGGAAAACTGATTTCTAGATAATACAGGCAAAGTGCCATGCCTGAGCACGATTATTTTTTGAATGCAAATTATCAAACAGTGCCCTCTTTCTACTAATGTATTTCCCGTTTTTTCATTTTTTCATTGTTTATGTTCTATTATGCCTCTTCTCAAAAGATAATTCAAGGCACCTTTTATTAACATAACTTGGCCAGAAGCGCCCATGTCACTTACATGCCTGTTTCCCTGTTCCTGAGGCTGGTGCTTTCCCGCACCTGCTTCTTTGCAGATCCGGGTGAGGGGTCGGGTGACAGACATTTGCGGGGAGCAGCGGGCTCCATAGGGTGGGTGGCAGTTCTGTGTGGGGGTTCTGTTTTCAGTTTTGTTTTTGTTCTTTTTATTTTCTCTTTAAAACCTCCACTCTCTGGCAGGACGAGATGCCTATTGGTTCTTTACCTCTGTGTCCTCTTGTAACAGAATGAATATTACTGTAGGTTAGACTTCTTGTGGAAGAACAAGTTCAAAAAAGAGCGGGAGGAGATAGAAACCATGGAGAACTTGAACCGCGTGCTGCTGGAGAACGTGCTGCCCGCGCACGTGGCCGAACATTTCCTGGCCCGGAGCCTGAAGAACGAGGTGGGCACGCTGGGGCAGCGGGCAGGGGCAGGGCGAGGAGGTCCCGGCTGGGGGGGTCTGGGGGGCCTGGGAGCCTTCAAACGCCTCAGTGCTCCTGGTGTCCTGTTGGCCTGAATTGGTCTGTTCTTCAAAGATAATGATGGGCCAACTGGGAATAGTGAGTTCGAATCACCTCCGAACGTGTTAGCTTGAGTGTTGATTCATCATTCCTGGCTTTCCTTCCCCCATCACGTGACACTCTCAGGGTGCCATGTGAGGCCCTGGGCTTCCAAACAAGTCACAAAAGTGGCCTCTCCGTGGTGTGAAGGGCCGCCTGCCTTACCAGCACACCACAGAGACTGAATCAAGGGGCACCATTAAGGCATGCATACCGCACATCCACTGTTTCATTGCTGGAAACTTCCCTGAGTGCCTGTAAAGGGCCTTGGAATTTCAAAGATGGGAGATGGACAGAGTTTAGAAGTTGTCCATACAAGATCAGGTCACAGACCAAAGTCTGCTCTCTTGAGGATGCAAATGGGGATTTCTTGGAGCGTCTAAAGGAACGGATATTTAACTAGAATTGGAAAGACGGGAGTGTCGTTTTAGCATAGAAACGGCTTATGAAATGAGACATCGTGAAATTTCTTTCATATTCCTAACTTACGGTGAGTCAGCAGATGTGTCTACAGTGAGAAACACGTATCTGAGCTCTCACTGTGAGCAGAGGCCTGTGTTTGCCATCGCAGACACAGAGAAGGTCAACCTTGATGACACTAGAGTACAAACTATCTCAAGTGACAAGGCCTGAAGCGGTATTTTCCTGTAGCACATTTTTGCGGGGAGGGGGTGTATTTTCACTTGGACCGGGCCCCCAGAGGGAGTGACTCGGAGCCCACTGCCTGGTGGTTGTCCCTGCCAGGTCTCAAAATCCCCAACCTTCTATCATAAGAGAAGAAGTAGAAAATACCGCAGAGCAAGCTTTCAAGAGTTCACATCCCATCTCTGCCAGTTACGGCTAAGTGGCCTTCAGCACAGCACCTAAGCTCTCAAGTGCCTCAGTTTCTTCATCTGTAAAATGGGGGCAGTAATAATACTCGCATCATAAGCACAGAATGAGCACCAAATAGCACATTTAATGTTGACATTGGCTAGAAAGCACCAGGGAGGGAGTGAGGGGCTGGACATCGCCCCCTCCTCTTACTGGAAGCGTGCTGGGTGCGGCAGGCCGCCTGGGGTCCCGCCAGGAGGTCTGGTTGGCTGTGGAGCCCACCTTTCTGTTTCTTCCGCTCTTCTCTGAAGTCCATACATCTTCAGCAGCCGGTCTACCCACTGGCCACGGATAACGAAATCACTGCGCTTGTTAAGAAGGAGCATCTGCCCCCGGTAGCGACATAAGAGCATCTTTCTGTCTGTGTGCCTGGCTGTCAGTCCGGCTCATAAATTCAGCGTGTGCCTACTGTCGCCCCTGCCCTGTGGCCACGCTGGTGCCTGGCCTGGACACAGAGATGAACGGGACAGGGGTGGCCCCATCGCCCAGAGGGGGACTGCATCCCCTTGTCTCCAAGCGCACTCGCGGCGTATCTGCGGGAGCCCAGACAGGCCGCCACTATGAGGAGGTAGCTTCTGAAACTGGAAAGAAGGAGCTAGAAAGTAGCTGGGGGATGGATGCTGGGGTCGGCGGGGGCGGGGGCGGGGGA